CCAAATTTCAAATGCATATAAAGTGATCAAAAATACCATGGCTTGGGCCAGGTGCAACTCAGTCCTCAAGTTGATATCTTTGCTCTTTAACACTTTAAAGAGATCTTTTGCAACAGATTTGTCTAATGCAATTCATTGATCGATTTATTGACTGCTGCTTCCATGAGCACCAATTGTGGATTCAAGCAAAGCTGTCTTTGACTACTTGAATCTTTTCTCTGTTTATCATGATGTTATTTATTGGTTCAATTGTGAGGATTTTCATTTTATTTACATTGAGGTGCAATCCATCCTGAAGGATGTGTTCTTTGATCGTCATTAATAAGTACTTCAAGTCCTCCTTCACTTCCAACAAGCAAGCTTGTGTCATTTACATATTTCTTGTTGCAGTCTTCTTCAGTCCTGAAGCCACGTTCTTCTTCATATCATCCAGTTTCTCAGATTATTTGCTCAGCATCCAGATTGAATAAGTATGATGAAAGGACACAACACTATGGTGACAGGATACTGAACCATTCAGTGTCCCCATGCTCTGTTCTAACGATGGCCTCTTGGTTTATGTACAGGTTCCTCATGAGTAAAATTAAGTGGTTTGGAATATCTATTTTTCACATGCTTTTCCATAGTATGTTATGATTAATGCAGTCGAATGACTTTACATATTCGATAAAGCACAAGCAAACATTTTTCTGGTATTTTTTGCCAAGATCCTCTGACATCAGCAATGATATCCCTCTTCTGAGTCCAGCCTAAATTTCTGACAGCTACCTGTCAACATACTGTTGCAACCTTCGATGAATTATCTTTAGCAAAATTTTACTTTTATGTGATATTAATGATATTGATTCAGTTGGCAGTAATCATCAATATATCTTGATTACGTGTTTGATTAGTTTCAGACTGAAGAAGTTGATAGAATTCTTTAATTTCATCTTCCTCGGTTTTAGTGGTTGGTATATAAATTTGACTTACAGTTGTATTAGCTGGTCTTACTTAATGTTAATGTTAAGTATCATTGAGTTCATTCTAAGCAGCTGGTGGGTTTGAACTGCCACAAAAGGACTCCTTATAGACAAATAGATACTGTCCTATCACAGACAGCATTATGCATAAAGATAGATCCTGAAATGTTCTTTTTGACAGTGTATGTGATGCCATTCTTCATCATTTCCAGCATAGTAAACCATACGATTGTCCAATTACGAATGACCAATACCTGTCCATTGCAGCTCACTAATGTTTAGGATACCAATCTTTGTGTGCTCTATTACATTTTGGACAACCTTACTAATTTCCTAGATTAATAGTTCATATATTCTGGTTCTAATTATTAATAGATGTTCACAACTGTTTATTCTCATTTTGAATTGCACCCCATCAACAAAGGCAGGTCCTATAGGCTTTACTTTATCCAAATCATTGGTAACAACTCTTCATTAGGGAGGCAGCTCTTTTCCAGTTATATTTTATGTGCCTTCCAACCTGAATGGCTCATCTTCCAGCAGTGTATCAGACAATGTTCTGCTGCTGGCCATAAGGTTTCAATGGCTAACCATTCACAAATATGCTGTCTCGCCTTCTTCCTAGCCTGTCTTAGTCTGGAAGCTCTGCTGAAGTCTGTCTACCATGGGTGACCCTGCTGGTATTTAAAATATCAGTGGTATAGCTTCCAGCATCACAGCAACACACAAGACAAACTGATAGAAAAGGAGTGGCAATACCGTTACCAATAGTTATAAAAATAAGTTCAATTTACAGAATGCCAGGTCTTTTCAATATTCACAGCAAGTCTGTGGGTTAAGTGTTTTATTTTTCAAGTGATTGAAACTGAGTTTCTGGAAAATTCAGCGAACTTTTACAAAGTCACTTAGATCCCAAGGCGCTGAGAGGGAATCAATATCTAGTTTTTTTTGACCTCAAAAGAAGTCTATTTTGACCTGGGCTGTGAAAATGTCCTATGACTTGAATAGGGAAGAGAATCCATGTTTCACAGTTGATCTCGTGATTGATCCAAGCTGCTTTTTGCCATCCTCCCAAATCCTTTGTTCTCAAAAGAGATTTCAAGTTACAGAATGTGGTGGAAATCTAACGATTTTTCTCAGATCTTTGATGCATGCTGTGCCCAAGCTAGAATTATAAGGACATGGTGCTTTGTAATCAGAATAAATCTGTATTATTTCTAAGGTCTTTTATTTTTTTATTTTCTCCACTAAAGTCTCTGATACCTTTTTGATTTGTTTTTCTTTAAACCAGATCCTAAAGTCTATGCTTTTTGTTATCATTAAATACCTTAGGATTCGATTTCTTTCTCCCCACTATTAGCTGATACGCTCAGGTGTCTGTTCGGACTGCTCTCTCAATAGATGATCTTAGTCATGCTCATGGCCAGTTCTCTCACTGTGACTCTGAATTTACCTTTACAGCTTGGACCTCCTCCCCCAGATTTAAATTTCTAGTTGGCTATGTGATATTTTCAATCACCTCATATGCATGTGAAAGCTGGACAGTAAATCAGGAAGACTGTATAAGAATTGGTGCTTTTGAGTTATGGTGCTGGAGGAGAATATTGAAAGTGCCATGGGCTGCCCAAAGAACCAATAAACCCATTTTGTAAGAAGTGCAGCCAGAGTGTTCCCTAGAGGCCAAGATGGCCAAACTTTGTCTC